ATTACCAGGCCTCTGGAGAAATTCAAGACATGTTGAGGAGGTAATTTAGCTATTTGAATCAGCTGTGTGGGCTCAAGTACACATCTAAAACCTGCAGGACACCAGCACTCGAGGCCTGGAGTTGCCCACCACTGATATGTATGAAGGAACATAAGTGTGTTGGCCTGTGTGTTTGTACATTGGGATATGTGCACTTATTAATGCACGTTTTATCCAAACAAGATGTAACTGTCTGTTTTTAAAAAAGTGCAATACAAATAAACTCATCCATATTTTTTTTTAGGTCTGAAGTTGTTTTTAATCAAATAAATTTAATAAAATAAATTTAGTTCAGACACAGTAAAGAAGGACAATTATTTACATAAACGCAAAGACAACAGAAATATCCAGTCATCATTGAGTACAGCACCAAAAGACATTTTTTTCTTATGTTACCGGAAGTAAGGAGATTCAGTAAAAGCCACCAAAACAGTGTTTATTTGTTTGATTAAAAAAAAAAACACGGTTAAACAACACGTAAATACATGTTTATGCATAAAATTTCTCAGCACAGCATGAAAGGCAGCAACATCCCAGCGATAAGCTTCAGATAAAATCTGATGTGACATAAATGTGCAAAAGGTTGGCAAAGTGGACAAACGTACAAGGGAGCCACTTCCCATTTCAGCCACTAGAGGGCACCAAATGAATATAAAAGAGGCGAAACCTATCATTGCCCTATCGTCGCTCACCGCCACGTAATTTGTTGCCTATTTGCCAACAAGCAGACTACTCCTGCGTTACTTTAAAGCTGAGCGAGTGGACACTTCACCAAGCATGTGATTAAGTACACGTATATATTTATACATCCTGAACATGCCGGGGCGGCGTAGAGAACACTTTTGCACAGTGCGATGTTTTTCATTTAAATAACTCAATGAAACAGTGATAAAGTCATCTGAAGGTAATTAGAAATCTGCGTGTGTTTGCGTGTGCGACAGAGGGGTGCTTTATTCACGGCGTGAGACAGCTTAGGCCTTGCTCTGCTGTTATCTGGTGGCCTCCTACTCCTCCACCGCCACAATGTCTTCTGCTACCACATTTATCAACTTGACACGCACACTTTTCTCTCTCTCGCTCTGCACCATCCCTGTTCCCTTCTTCCCCTCCATATGTCTTTCCACTCCACACTTCTCCGGCTACATTTCTTCATCTTATTACTCTCAGAGAGGGGAGAGAGTGAATGATTCTCCTAACTCGTCTCCCACTCTTTGTGACACTTCATTTGTCGTTGTGATTAGAGCCCATAACAGTGCCTCTGGAGTGTGCACAAGGCTGACGGTGTGTGTCTGTAAGCGTTTGGCTACAGGAGGAAACGCGCTGTAATTAACTCGCTGTCTGCGCCGCTGACGATTTTTGAGGACCGATGAAGACATTTGTGAGAGTTCATGAGGCCTTTTACCACCTCCCCTGCGCAATAATGAAATTGCACTTTGTTAATCTAACCAAGAAAGAGATTAGGTGCTTTTTACCTACATCTTTAGAAATATAACATAAAAAGAAGTGCAGATATTTATACTCCCTGGAGGATAAAGAATTTATTTTTTAATCCTTGGATTTCTCCACTATACTAAAGGTATACAGGCCCAAACTAACTTAGACACAGTAAGCAAAAGACCATGCACTTTTCAGCATTTTCATTACTTAAACTGGAACAAGAAAAACAAACAGCAAAAAGCAACCTCCAAAGTAAAGAAGACAGAAACAAGAAGACTTCCCACTGAACATGACAGCAGAGGCAGGAAACAGACACAAACAGATAGCTGAGGCAGGGGGAAGGAACGCTAAATAAACTTCAAATGCAAGAAGAAATAACGTGACTCTAACTTTGTGATGAATAACCTCCTCCAAACACCCAAAACACTTTGCAACTTAATCTTACTTTTGTTGTTGATGTAATCTTGCCTCCGTACACAACCACAGTGCATTTTAAATCAAGCAATCTACCAAACAAGCTACCAAATGCAAGTTAGACACTTGGAATTAACTCTAGATCTTTAATCTGCTTGATTTGTCGTAGAATAACAAGGGAGCAGGTCTCAACTGGCCATCAAAGTGTTTATCACTCACTTATCTACTCATGTCTGCTGTGGAACATCTGAAAATGAGGGACTACATATAAAGAGGGCTGTAATTCCAAAACAGCTAACACAATACTTTATTCAAAGCCCTTGAATTAAAGCTGAAAGTCTGCACTTCA